AAACACTCTGCCTGTTTCGATAGTATGTCAAAAACTAATAGACGTAGAAACTCAAATTACATTGTAATTGTCACTCGGGTAACTCAGCTTGACTTATGATCGCTCTCTTGCAGGTGAGATATTCCATTACGTTTAAATGATAAGTTATTTGATTATCATGCATCTGCTGACCAAGGAGTGCCCGCGTGCCCAGGTGCCAAGCGACCCAAGCGGACCCAAGCCGTTTTCTGTGGCGAGTTCCCCACAAACTTTTAAAATCATGGTTCGAAATGTGGTTGATAAAACGCCCAAGGATAAAAGAAAGTCTTCAGGTCCACGGAAACGTAGTACGCCTTCGTCTGAGGTAATATACAGCAGCCCGAAAAGGCCAGGATCGGCAGCCGGCGGAGAGAGTGTTGAACGAAGTGAGTTAGCTCAAGCTAGGTTATTCAGGGTGTTCTTACAGTAGACGTACATGGGTGTTAGAATCATGTTTAGGTGTTAAATCGAAAGTGCTTTTCTGGCTTGCCTCTCGATATAGGACACTAGTTATTAAAGATGATAGCTTGCAACTGTAAACTTATTATTGAAAGCTCGTATGAGCTGACGTTAAGCTATGCTGCTACAAGTGGAAGGAAGAACCGATTTTTCGAACTCTATATCCGAACCTCTTGATCATTCGAAGGAAATGTTTGCTCCCTTCGCAAAAATATGACCGAAATTTGTGCTGATTTTTCGAACTACCGAGTTTTCAAAAACTGTTCTCTGTTCCGCTTGGTGGACGATTCAATGTGTCATAGTCTTGTGTAGCTTGATCATATTCTGGAAACCCAACAACTTCGACTTGCGCGTACTTTATAACAAGCTAATGTAAAGCTAAGTTTAAGTTTTAACCTTCCCATTAGAATGATTGTCGATGTAGCTTTCGTTGTCCAAAAGACTATTTAATAAAATCCTATGTCTCTCTGCGATTTATTACAAGTAATTGTTTCTACTACAAATGTAGATGATCTGCATAATTTTATTTAAGAAACAATAGTCTACTTTTCGCGGGAAATTATTCTTCGGTAGGTTCTTCATGGAGAGGATTTTTCTTACATATTGAAGAGCAAACTGGGATATTGTACAAAAAGTGATTGTATTTGTTAAATTCTGTAAATCATTTGATGTTACAAATTTATGATTTTGGTTAAAAAACAATTTGGTAACTTGACTTGATGTTCATTTCAGAAATTGGTGAGTTTCCTCTTTGAAACAAAGGGATTTTACAGAAACCAGAGCTATATGTATTCAGTTCACATAATGGTAATTTTTCCGTAGAAAAAAGAAGATTTCGACCAGGAACTAGGGCACTAATGGAGATAAGACATTACCAAAAGACAACTCATTTATTACTTAGAAAGGCTCCTTTCATGAGGGTGGTAAGTTTGATTTTCCTGCTATTACATACATGTGCAATGTAGGTTCATAACAATTTTTCCATTCATTGAATTTGTATCAAACCATCCTATTGCTGTCTGATTATCTGGTGTGCTAGGAGCTACGCTTAATGTTTTTTCTCATTTTATTTAGTTAACTTCGAAATAACTTAGCAATTTAATTCAGCAAATTGACTGGCGGTGAGGACAATTTTGCCCACCTGTGAAATTCAGTTGGGAGGTGCGGTGGCCTCATGGTTAGTGTGCTCATCTCCGGATCAAGCAGTCTGGGTTCGAGCCCTGGCTGGGGACATTGTGTTGTGTACTTGGGCAAGACATTTTACTCTAACAGTGCCTCTCTCTACCCAGGTGTATAAATGGGTACTGGTGAACTTAATGCTGGGGGTAACCCTGCAATGGACTAGCAGGACTACCTTTTTACCTTACCGTGAAATTCAGTTGCCTTCTTGCTGAAAACATCAATAAAATCCCTGAATTTCCTCAAAGGCTTATGACAAATTCAAGAGGGGGGAGTTGGTGCTTAATTGGGGAGAGTGTGCTTAATCAAGGAAAGGCACAAATAAATGTCAGAAACTCATTTTCTTGGCTATGCAGGAGATAAACTTTAATTACATACATGTAAATGGTAATGCAAACAAGCCAACAGTTCCCCTAGCTCAGGTCTCAGATTTACCAGGTCTAAAAAGCAAACTGCTCTTTGCAGAGTCTTCTTTATAGACTTTCTCTCACGTTTTTACATCACTAACTGTTTTTTCAACTTTTTGGGAGTATTTTGTCCTGAATTTGGGAGAAGGCCTTTATTTGAGGGACGGGGAACTTATTCTGAATTTTGTACTCAAATTAGTTGTTTAAATGATAGAGAGCACTCAATGAAGTGCAAGTGCTACATGTAGTTCAAGAAAATAAGATTAAGCTACAAGTGTTGAATGCTGAATGGAAATTAAATACGAACAGTTTGCTGTGAGATCTGCATGTATTCCTGAGCTATTTTGTTGCACAATGTATGTTCAAGATCCTGCAATGAGAGGAAGCTCCCTGTGCAAACATGTGGATCAGCACATTTTGATGTACACTGTTATGGTGTGCCTTTGCAGTTAGTCAAATTATATTCCTACAAGGCTAGAACAAAGTTTCTCCATCTGCATGGCTGTGTGTTTTATGTGCCCTTAAATGTAATTTTGAGGGTTCATAATTTGATTTTATTTACCTGTTTACATGCAGTGCTGGGAAATCTTTTGATTGACGTCTTAAGTACATTTTAGGTGCGGGAAATTGCTGATAAATTTTACCATCGGGAAGAATTAAGGTGGCAAGTCCCAGCATTGTCAGCACTCCAGGAGGTTAGGAATTTTTAAACTAGTTACATTACGACAGCTTGTTAATGTATTATTACCATGTACCATTTAGGGTGTGTTCCTTTGGGATGATCTGGATCAGGATCAGTGATCCAAGATCACTTGGATCATGGTGCATCAAAGGAACCGACGAATCGACTCTGGTCACGGATTCATTGGTTCCTTTGATAAACTATGATCTGAGTGATCTTGGATCACTGATCCTGATCCAGATCACCCCAAAGGAACGCACCCTTAGAGTGTACCAAAGACGTTCATGGCTGCATTAAATGCTAAATGACACATCATTGCACATACTGTATGTTCAGGGTTGCGGATAAGTTTTCACGGCAGATTCCTACGGGTCAATTCCCACTGCTCCCACTTGTGTATTGATTTGTCAGATCATGTAGCTGATCTTGTTGGGTTTTTGATCTGAGACCCTTCACCTATCTGAAACACTGTATGTTAGTTCCTCAAAATTTAATCTCAGGATTTAGTAGGTTCCCTGCATTGAGTACAGTGTATACATATAAAGTATTGCATTGGAAATTTTGTCTGTGAGTCTTGTTTTTCTATATCAACCGATACTATCAGTTAATTAATTACTTAGGCATCCCTTTTGTCTCAGTTCCATCATTTATATTCTTCTCGCAGGTCTTTATACATATCATTTACATTTTAAGTACTAGATGCATCTGGGAGTTAAAGCCTAGTGATCATATTTTTTTCATTCTTGTGTGCCTGCTTATCTTTTGATTGACCGTGGAGAGAAGTTAATAATTTGCAAATTAATGATAATTAAAAATAATTTTTTCTTTTCTGCTTTTTCAGGCAGCTGAAGCATTCCTTGTTAGACTTTTTGAGGATGCGTACCATTCTACTTGTTTGCTTCTTCCACATTTAATATCAACGTTTTGTTGTTGTGTGTTACTTTTTCATGTCGTGCAATACATGCCTGGGTTCCGTTTTGCACGAATTGGGTGTTACAAAGGGCTCTTCTTTGCATGTAACTGTACAAGACAAACTTAAAAGAAATGGTGCATAGTAGTAATTGAAATGAAGTTTGCTCAAGATGTTATGAAGTCTCTTTCCTTCTTTATGTAATTATGATTTCATCTATTTTATTACATTTTTATTTCTAAAATTGCAATTCATGATGCATGCTCCTATTTGACCATGTAGTTGTCTGTTGGCATGTTAACAAGGTGGCTGTTATGATGAAACTGCATTTTGTTGATGTTTTTTCTTTGGTTTCACAAACTGTTTGTGTAAACTTTTGAACACTTCCAATTTTCTTCTTGTATTTATATTTTTTATCTACACGTATGTATTTTAAATCCCAGTTTTGTAGTAGATCAAATGACTGTTGTTGTTGTTGTTGTTCTCTTTGTCTTTGTTTTGTTTTTACAGTAATTTATGTGCAATCCACGCCAAACGAGTGACTGTTATGCCCAGAGATATGCAGCTAGCCAGGCGGATCCGAGGAAGACATGATGGTCTTGGCTGATAAGAAAACAAACTTTTCACTGCTTTGTAGCTTAGTTTTGGAAGAGAACAATTAGTTTATCTCAAGACGTATTTTTATGACCCTTTATCAACTTTTAGAGGCCTTAATTTTGTATGCAATTATCGCTAAAGGTGAAAGTATTTTTAAGACACAAACATTTTAAAAGTTGCATCATGGTCATGTATTTAAAGCATTTGAACAAACAATTTTTAACTTACGTACATCTGTGAATGGAATGGAAATTTGTTCCATGCACTGAGTGCCAGGATTTTTTTTTCAATTTATGTTAATGTATTGATTATTCAAGGCTTCACTTATATTTGCTTCCTTGCATCTTGTATTAATATTTATTGTGAAATACAGTCTATATTTTAATTTCTTTGATTAAGTCTACCTCTTTGGATTGCATTTCACTTTGCTGTTGTTGTTTCCATTTTCGTAGTTTTCGGGCCTTAAGTTATGATGCATTTATCCAATTGGTTTTTATTGTGAACATAACTCGTATTTGGATTTCATTTGTACAAATAAAGCTGAAACTGTACAGATTACTCGTTGTCGTTTTCGTTGTCGTTGTTTAATTTTCATTGAAGGCGAGTGCGCTTTTGGAGCACCTTTGTTTAAAAGTGATTGAGTTTTTTTGATCTTGATAACAGATCACATAGAAGTAGTAAAGCTCTCTAAACAAGGGTGTGAAACATCAAAGGAAACTAAACGGGAGACAGAAAAGAGGCTAAAGAGAAGGGAACTAATGGGAGAGCGAGAGGTAATTTGCATCAGAAGTTTTGGTGCTTGATTTCTTGGGACATCGGAATTTTACGATACTTGTGGTATTTGGCTGTTTAGCGTGTTATTTGATAGAAATAGCAAGTCGCAGCGGAAATTACAGTGGAACTCCGTTAATCCGGCAACTAAGAGACAAGCTAGATTATGTTTATGATAGTATTAACGCCGAATTATTCACAGTGTGGGGAAACCCTTGTGAATTATAATACGGTTTGCCTCCAGGTTTGTCTTATTCACTGAGGGGTGATACCGTACTACTCGTGGTTACAATAGGACCGACCTAGTAAACCGACGGAATACCTATATACGTATCGCAAGTAATTACTTATTCTTCTTAGCTATTATAATCTTTCTTTTTTTAGAAGGATATCCGAACATCACTAACCTTATGCCACGTCGGCGTTGTCGCCCGCGTTTTCGTCCCCTGCGTTCTCGTGCTCGGTTGGGGCGTTTCCTTCAAAGATGTTGTTTCATCTGCCTCAACTCTCCAAGCGAGTACTCTTCCAAGAGGTTACCTTGTTGTTTTCAGTTTATCCATGAGGAATGTCTCCTGACGTCCTTTCAGAATTCTTCACGTACCAATTTACACGATACGTGCCCCCACTGTCGAAGGTTTATTTCTTCTTACAACCACTCAGACGACATTCCTCATGGAAGTTATCCATTTCGATTCGATTTCTTTTCTTATCCCCCCCCCTCCGCCCCCCCCCCTCCGCCTCCCCCTCCTTTCCATGATGACTATTTAGACTATTTTGGGATACTACAGGACAATGCTTTCCTGTCTCCTGCCGATTCTGATAGGTTGTTTTTAGATCCTCCAGCCCCTTCTCCACCTGCGGGTTGGGCGGAGTTTCGTCAAACTCATTATTGATAGTTTATTCCCTTCTATGTTATCTTTCTCTCGCTACTCTTCTATTATACCAGGGAATACACGATACATCCTTTGTGGTTTTCGGCGTTTCTAAATATCTATATCTATATCAAAAACAAAAAACAAACAAACAAACAAACAAACAAACAAAAAAATTGTTTCGGTGTCGGGTTCGTGAGGACATTTTTCTTGTTATGGTATTGTCATGTTATCTTGCTTGCATTCTATTACCTCATTGTGAGCTAGGGACTAGCTCAAGCTAAGGAGGGAGAATATGTAAAACAATAAAAATGCAAGCAAGATATAAATTCCCAACCATATTTATTCGTTGTAATACTGGGCAAAAAGTTAATGGTAATGTTTTGAGAAATAGGTGTTGGGTCATTCGAAATATAATATTGGAATATTTTATGTGTTTAAAAAATGTTGCATTTTC